CTTGATGGCGGATGAACGCCACTCGATCTCCTGGAGTTTCTCCTTCGCCCAGATAACCCAGGCTCCGGCGACAGTTCTGTGGCCACTTTCTCTACATAAGGACAGAATCCTAGCAAGTCGCCGGTGGGTGAGAGTACAGACTTTGGAGCCAGATGGCTACTAGACAGTTTCCAGCTTTAATTTTAAGACCTAAGCAAGTTTCCCGCCTTCTCTGTGCCTCAGTTTCCTCATCCCTCCCAGACCTGTCGTGAGGATCCAGCGAGCTAATGCAGTCCCTCCGGGCACCCACGCCCCGTGGCCACTGGGAAAATTAATAAAGAAAACCTCAGTGGAAATTGGAGTCGGCAAGCTTGTCTCTCCTTCCCCGGCACCCAGCCCGCCCTTTGGGGCAGGTGCTCCTTTGTGGGTGATGAGTGCGAACGAATCCTGCCATCCTAAAAAGAGCATTTTACTAAGAGCTCCGGTGACACCAGCTGCTCAAAGTGAAGTGTCCAGCTGTCAAAAAAGGCTCTTGAGATGTTAATTTTACGGCTTCAGGCATCTCCGAAGGTCAACTAGGACAGTCGGTGTGAGCCAGGGCCCATGGCATTGGTTTTAGACCCAAACTCCCGTTGCACAGAGGAGGCACCATGTCATGTTCAGTGGTGAAGGTGACGGAGGTCTGGAAAGGAGAAATGGCTGATGCATTTTGAGGCTCACCCTGGGGGCACCCTGCACTGTGCGCGTGCTCCACCCACTCATTCAATCCGCACAGGTCTGTGAGGCTTCCTGTCGTCTCATCTTACAGGTGACAAAGGCAAAGCTCAGAGAGGTTAAGCAACAAACCCTTGTCACACAGCCAGCCAGTGGCAGAGCCAGGATTAAAGCCCAAGCAGATTGGCTGGCCTCAGAGCTGCCACCTTCAAACCCGTGACTGCTAAAAACCCGTGTTCTGCCGGATTCAGGTGACTTTGGTGGTTCCTGCTACAAGAAAGCACTTGCTTGCTGCTGCAGTGGGTCCTCAGTTGCTTTCAGAGGTCCTTGCGTATCACGTGTTCCCGTTCTGTAGATGAGGACATTCGGGTGGAGGAGGGGCATTCTCCTAAATGTCTAGGAGACCAAATTAGCCTTGCATGAGGGATCCAGACTCGCCGTTCAGAGTCCAGTCTGTTGGTCAGCTTCCCAGGCCACGTGCATTCTCAGTTTCCAAGGCCGGCCCGAGCTGGTGGTTGTCAATGGTTAATTTTACATGTCAGTATGTAGGGCGTTTTTGGATGAGGTTAACATTTAAGTCAGTGAACTACAAGTAAACAGATTGCCTTTCATGAACGTGGGTGGGCCTCATACAATCAGTCGAAGGCCCAAAGAGAACAGAATGTCCGGCCTTCCCAAGCAGAAGGGAATTCCGCAGCACTCCATCCTTGGACTTCGTCTGCTCCTCGGCTCCCCTGGATCCCCACCTGCCGGCCTTTGGACCGGAACTGCAGCATCAGCTTTGCTGGGTTTCCAGGCTGCCGGCCCACCCTCTGGGTTTTGGACTCGCCAGCCTCCCTAAACGCGTGAACCAGTTCCTTTTAAGAATCTCTATGTATCTCCACATTCTCTTAGTTGTTTCCCTGGAGAACCCAATTGCAGTGATTAAATCTCCCCAGGAATCACTCAATTTCTCCCGTGAGAAAACGGAAGTCCCAGCTTAAGAGGAAGGCGCACGTCTTGCTTTCAACCACCATTTGCTAGACCCCATTTTACAGATGGGGAAATTGAGGCCCAGAGAGGTGACGCTAAATGTGCCAAGTCACACATCGATTCAGCAGTCGAGACAGAAGGGAAACCCCGCCCTTTCTAGCTCCCGAGTGCAAGCCCTTTCCGCTGTGCAGGTCACTCTCGTGTCCTCCACCCCCTCCACACCATTCCACACACCCCCAATCACTTGGTTTACTGGCCTAAGTTCTCTTGTCGCCAACAAAGACAACTCCCTCACGTCTCTCACGCACCACCATGTGGTGTAAGGCCTAAAATGAATACTGTGTGCTGCCCTGATAGCTAAAACTGGAAAGGCCTTGAATGACCTAGCAGGCCCCACCTCCGCTCTGCCTCCGAGGATAAGGCCCCGGAGCCGGACGACTCTCCTGTCCCAGCACAGGGCCTGCTGACCCCCGAGTCGCGCGTGTCAGCCCCATCGGCCGCGGGGAACATGATACCGGACTTGCTGGGCCGCTCCTTGGTTTTCGTGGACATCTCTCCACAGCAGCGCACGTAGGTCCGGCTAACAGCTGCATCAGCTCACCACGTCCTTGTGTTATTATTAGCTACTCTCCAAATGGCAGACAGGTGATTCCCAGCCTTGCTTTCCATCTCGAAACACTGCAACAGATCTTGGGGCAGGTATTTTTGTATAGCTGTGAGCCACGGCGGATATTATGTTTGTTGGTAATGCAGAAAAATGTTATTAAGACTTTTTTTTTTTGGTTTAAAAATAAAATAAAACTTTTTAAGGTTTAGCTTCTTTAAACTCATTATACCTGTGGCTACATTTAACGTAAACACCTTTTAAACCCAGCTATCTGAAATTCCCATGGAGTGCCGACTCGGTAGATGACTTGGATTTATACAATTTGTTGGATTAACAGAAAAAAGTATTTAATTATATAAACAGTAATAAACATGAAACTGTATTTCAAATAGATAATATATGACTTTCGTAACAATGGGATTAAAAATTCTTTCATCGAAACTACATAAAATTGGTTAATAAATTTGACAATGGAGTTAAGGGCCGGCAATGTCACCCCCTAGTGGCTCGAGTACTCATTTCACTAGGAACTGAAATTCATCCCTTCCGTAACTGCAGCTCACCACACAGGTCCCCACTGTGCGGAACCAGCTTTGGGACTGGCTTCAATGACACAGCAGCAACTTGTTCTTATAGCCCCTGGAGAGAAGCAGACTGACGCTGGAGCTGAGCGGCAAAGTTTCTTTCAAGATTCATCCTCCTCTTGAGTACCTGATAGGTATTTTCCATAAAATCAGTGAACTCAAAGTATTCTTACTGCCCTTCACTGCTGTATCTTCCAGCTCGCATATCTCGCCTACTCGTTCTCAACGCTGCCTGTTGAATCTCTCACCGTTCTGCTAAACGCACGTGCCTGGCCAGCTGTCTCCCTCACCTGATTCTGGGGCCTGGACAAAGCCTAGACTTGGGCTGGTTTTATTTTGTTGGTGAAGGCCCACAGGTGATCTGGTGCACGGCCAGCTGGGAGGCCCTGGTGCTGCCAGCTCTGCGGATGTGATGGGTGGGAGGCGGGAGAGAAGGAGTTGCAGCCTGGAGGGCTGACCCCAGCGACTTCCCCCCAGGCACGCAGGACCTGCCGAGGGTGCTGACCAAGGGCAGAGACCCAGAGCTGTTTCGAAGACGTGTTATTACCCTTGAAATGCCTTTCCCGGGTAACGTTCTATGACAGAGAGACAGCAAGTCGTTTGGAGAAAAGGTGGCATACGGACCCCATAATCATAACTAAGTATTTGTTACCACAGCTTTAAAGTGACAATAGTTGTTGCTTCACAGGTCTCTCAGAGCCAAAACTTGAGGAAAAAACAAGACTCCTATAGGGAATCCTGGTTAGTATTTTTCTCTCCACGCCGCCTGCTTGTGCTGACGAAGACAGGACTTCAGGCGCAGAGGCCCACCCCAGTTTATTGAACAAGCTCCCGTCTAGGTCTGGCCACCAGGGGCTGAAGCCAGCGTCCAAGGCCACTCTGGCCAAGCCTGCTCCAGGAGCCTGACAGGGACGTGGACCACTCAGAGAGGCCCTCCTACTGCGCATATCCAGTGGGGACAGTGACCGCCGGTGGCCACAAGTGTTCGTGTGTGCGCACACATGCGTGTGTGTGCATGGCAAAGTCGAAGTTCTTAGAGCTGTAAACGAATGTCTTTAGAGATGTGTGCGCACACATGCGTGTGTGTGCATGTGTGTGTGAGAGAGAGAATACAGCTGCCTGTTACTCCGATACACGAGGGGAGTGGGGCCTGGTTCACCCTCCAGCCATATAACCCCATTTCTCGTTTCTGTGCCCGTACCTGTCCTCTCCCGCCCTCCATGACCACGTAGGCAAAGCCGAAGTTCTTAGAGCTGTAAACGAATGTCTTTAGAGGAAGTAGTTTGTCCAAGGTCTAAGTTAGAGACAGACAGACAGACAGACAGACAGACACACACACACACACACACACACACACACACACACACAGGGTGGGAGGAGCAGAGACCGAAACAGCAGCACGAAAGGGAAGCTGCAGGAGACTCCAGGTGGGGCAGGGGGTGGCCCGGTCACCCTCTACCGCCACGCCTTCCCCACAGACTGGGGACTCATGTTGTTTAAACGGACGCTGACGACTATTTTGGTAAGAAAGGTCTACAGCATCGTTAAAATGCAGATGTGAGTGCTTTCAGCAAGGACGGCAGAAGTGGCTGCAAGGGGGCGAAACCGAGTCACTGGAGGACGGGGTGTGACTTATGCTCCTGCTCCCTGCACACTTCCTGACTTTCCACTGAGGTGCCCTTCCCTGGTGGACATCCTTGACGAGACCCCTTTCACAATGGCTCGGGCTCGGTCACCCACTGTGGGCCCCGGCATGTGACGGCGGCCTCACCCTTCGCCACCCGCTCTCCTCACTGCTGCCCGGGCAACCCCGCCAGCTTTCCTCCTTGACACACGGGTGAGGGGCAGGCCCCAGTCCCCACTGTCACACTGTCACACTCCCAGATTCCGGGTGACGCAGGTCAAGTCCTCCCAGCAGTCTGCTTGAGCCTCGCCTGCTTCTAGCCACCCAGCGGCAGGGGCTCCCGACAGCAGAGCCACTGGAGGCAGCTGGCAAAGTGCACGACAAACAAACCAACCCCCAGCGCGGAGGATGTCCTTACACACCGTGCTGTCCGCCGTCAGGGGGAGCCCTGCCCAACCTGCAGGCAACGGTCCCTTTGCAGAGGGTCGCCCAGTAAACTAACGATGGAAGCCACACGAGGTAATGGCTGGGTTTTTATTGCGATTCTGTACTTTATATTCAAGGTGACAGCTGACAAACAGGCAATTAGTCATGCCTCTAAACACTTACTTCAGGCCGAGGGTGGCCTCTGCACGCGGACCCCCATTACTGGGGCACAAGAGACAGACCCGAATCCGGCTCCTCCGCGGGTATGGCCTGGAAAGGAGGCCCAGTCACCGAGAACACAGGACCCACAATCACTCCTCTGTGCACAGGGATCAACGACTACAAGATACACCTCGGTCAGCCGCGGAAGTCTAAGACCATGTTTTTTCTCTGAAGACCTGATGGCATCTCCCACACGTCATCCTTTAGGATTGACAGCCCTGGCAAAGAAGCTTTTCTGTAAGTCAGTGATGAACCAGAGCATGAGGAAGAAAAAGCTTTCAGTCAAAATGCATTTACCAGAAGAGACATGTCCATGGAAAGCTTTTTCTCTTGACTTCCTAGTCTTGGCCACGCCTCGGAATCACTCAGGGAGCCTGAAAGAATCCCGATGTTCAGACGACGCCCCAGCCGATCCAGACCCTCTGGAGCAGGGACCCAGGTGTCCATATTTTTGCCAGCTTGAGTGATTTCAATGTGCAGCTAAGGTTGAGAACCGCTGGTCACAACAGATACTACCTGACGGTTTAAAATATCTTCACACTGAATGTGGCCCACACGTGCGTTACAACTCTGCACACACTCACAGTCCAAGTCTCTGCCAATTATTCCTATTTGCCGCTTTCACATCTAAAAAGGAGGCGGTTCTTTTTCTGGTTAACTAGGTTGCGGATTGAGCAACAGACTGATGCATTTTTCTGGTTATTTTCTTTGTTGCTGAGGCTTTGAGCTAAAAAGAGCACATTCTCCCCCTGGTCAGGATTCCCGTCAGAGGATTGGTGGGCGGGTCTGAGCGCTTCCCTTGCTGCTGCTGGCTGTCAGGTAGGGAACGCCCTCAGTGGCGTGGCTTCGTGTTCATTATGCCAAAGTGACAGACGTCGAGCAGTATGCCATTCAACTGTAACACCCCTTCTCAATGTGAAGCAGCTGCACCAGCTTCTAAAAAGTGGGGTTCCGCCCAGGTGCCACACTAGCCACCTCTCAGTCACCCCACCCGGTGTCTCCTGAGCTAAGAGAAGATTCCTCGCTTGACTGTTTCCTGCAGCAAAAATTGTACTTTAGAGTCTCCTCCCAACAGAAAGAGAACATGTCATCGTCCCAGGGGCGGAGAAAGCAAAGGCAGAGGTGTAAACTGCTAAGTCACTTTTTTGCTTTAAAAATTCAATCTAAACAGTTAACCTATTTGGATACCAAACTGTTTCGAAAGGAAACTCTCAACTCTCTCCCTAAGAAACAAAACGAAACGAAACGAAAGCGCAAAGAAGGAAATATGCCAAAACGGACAAGGGTTCCAGCTGGGGGTGAGGCGTTGGGGACTCCCACCTGCACCCCGCTTTTCCTGCTTCACTCTAGTTTACCAGCTTTCTAGAATGAGCATTATTACCTTTAAAATTAGAAAGCAAATATAACACACTTCCAAAAATTAATCAACTATTTAGATGCTAAAGCTAATAACCATTCAAACACTCTTAATATTCCACAGAATAAAGCTTCACAAATTATTTCCAATTCCAGCTATATTTAGGAGTCCACCCATGAAGTGCTGGCACTTTCACAGAAGTAGGTCAAGAGAGGACGGACTTATTTTCACACCAGATAATGTTGAACTGCTCCAGTTTCAGAAATTCATCAAAAAGAGGATTTGGTCTACTGAAATGTTCACATCTCCAGGGTAAAATTGTATACCGAATACAAGAGCAAACGTATTTCTGGAGAAAAGCCAGTCCATGTGTGTCTTCTGTTCAGAAGCAGGTTCCTAGCATCCGTCGGGCTCCGTCTCGTGCCCCTGGTCTGGGGTCCTCAGCCTCGCCCCTTCCCTGTGCATGTGCAGGTCCCCAGACCTGGCAGCCTTCAAGTGCAAGACGAGGCTCGTCAAGGGTCCAGACCTTGGGTGCTTCCTTCGTTGTCGCCGAGTCTGGGCCGCTTGAGCTCCAGAGGACTGCCCTGAGGGTCCCCAGGCGTTTCTGAAACATTAACAACTGTGAGGCTGGGAAGTAGGCGAAAGCTTCTGTAAGTTAAGAGCTGACGTCTATGAAATAAATGTTGTGCCAGACGAGGAACTAAACTGCCTGGCAAGGTCCTATATGTATATAAGTGGAGGGATCTATCGCAGTGGTTCTCACCCAAGGGACAGTGGGCAATGTCTGGTGACATTTTAGAATGTCATGAGTGGGGGGATGGGTACCAACAGCCAGGGGTGCTGCTAAGCATCCTACAATCACAGGACAGCCCACGCAACAGAGAATGAATGACCTGCCTAGAACGTCGGCAGTGCCGAGGCTCAGAAGCCTGACCGAGCCGCCCGCCTCACTGCGCATGCTCTCACCAGCAGGTGGCCCCTGCTGAGAATGGACAAGGGGCCAGTGAGTTCGGATGGTGGGTCTAGTAAGATGCATCCTTGCTTTCTCAGAACTGACTTAAAATTAGGGCGTGGTAATTTCCAAAAGAACAAAAGAGAAGATGTTCTCCTTAATTATATAAAACCAGTAACAGCATCACTTACCTGACTGGATTTCTTCTGTGGAAGGGGCAGAATTCACACTGGCTGGTATAGAATTCGGCGACGTATCTGTCTTCAAGGGTATTAAGTTTATTCTCCTTGATTAAAAGAAGTAGAGGGAGACGTGGTGAATTAGTGTCGTGGGAGTCGTTTGTGTACAATATCAAATTTCAAAACTGCCCAAAGGAAAGATTTACCATCTGCAGCAGATCATATCATGTAAGAATTTAATAAAACGTTGATGCGCCCACTTAGTAACTAAAGATTATGTTCATGTACTAAATGTGATGGTACTTAAACCTTAACAAGTCAACTAAAATTTTCAAAACCTGTGTTCTGTTCATTGCCAATGGTATGCTGAATGCCCTCCTGGATGCTGCCAATATAAAGCTAAGACATGGCATCTACTATGGAAAGCTCCAAAACGCAGACAATTCTTTTTTAAAAGTCTACATTCTTAATTTTCAACAACTATTATTTTTTTTAAAAAAAATGACAACTGCAAAAAGCTTGCAGGAAATTAAGAGGGGAAAAACTTTAATGCCAAAAATATTTCAAAGAACACCTTGTCATTCCCTTCCCCCGCTTAAAAACAAATAGGAAAGAAAACTGCTCGTCTGCAGACAGAAATCAGATTCAGAAAGAGCCAAACACTCCCAAGCCATAGTATGGATCTGCGACGAAGTCACGTGAACAGAGCAGAGTGAGACCCACAGTGCTTCTGTCATCTGTCACTGCCACCCCTGCCCTATGGTGGACCTCCAACCCCGGCCACCTCCCAGGACAATTTGTCTAGCAGGTCGGGAGGCAGGGAGGGGACCGGTGGAGAAGGCAGCACGCCGAGCCAGAGCAGACAACCTCCCTCACTGTCACGGGGGCTGCCGCTGCTGGATGGCAGACACCTGACAGTGTGGACGGCTCCGCCTGCAGCACCGGCAGGGAACTCAGGTACGCTCAGCAGCCGGCTGCCGTGAACAGGGAGAGGACATCTGCACCATCGCCTGGGGACTCTCTGTTATTAGACCGGACGTGCTGGTCACCAGGAGCCAGGCTGCGAAATGCAGCAAAAACCGCCTCAAGGTGTCCCTCTAATTCCCTCCCTGTGGTGAAGTGCCCGTTACAGTTCTGGGCAAGGGAGCACGGGAAAAAAGGGGACACGCTTCCTGCCTCAAGGGGCAGGGCTTTCCAGAGCAAGGTAAAGGCAGAGGGCGGAGTTCACGGGCAAAGGACAGTGAGGGCTGACACCCAGACAGTCTACGTGCCGTGCACAGGGGTCTGGCCCTTACCCTACAGGTAGGGAACAGGGGGCCCATCGAGGTCTCAAGCAAGGAGGTGGCACTCCCAGACTGGGGTTAAGAATCCTCTCTCTGGCAGCAGTGTGAGTACTTGCTGTGTGGCATTTCACCTGCTAAAGGCTGGGGGGCTTTTAGCATGAATTTGGTTTTTCAATTGCAGTGTTGATTTCTCCTTCCGTCAAAAGTTCTTACCGGGGTGTCGTCTTGCTCCAGGCCTGCAGGGTGTGCAGAGTGACCCTCCGGGACGGGTGGGCTTTCGTGTTTTGACTGCTGGGCTGCAGGGCCTTCTTCTCCTCTGAAGGCCCAGGCGCCGAGCTTCTGGCAGCAGCAGCAGCAGTCGAGGGCGTGTCCTTGGCAGTCGAGGGCGTGTCCTTGGCAGATGAGGGCGTGTCTTTGGCAGTCGAGGGCGTGTCCTTGGCCACTGCTGGGGTGGGGGACTGTTTCGCCTGAGGGGGCGTCTCACAGGGACTGCTGGGGTCGTGGATTCTGCTAGTGGGCGTTCCCTCTCCAGGTCTGGGTCCCGGCGAGGACCCTTGGTGTGTCTGATTCTTAGTTTTCTTTGCTGGATCAGTTCTCACACTCAGATCTGGCTTCTCTTTCAAAGGTATTCCAAGTTCATCCTTCTCAAACGTCACGAATGAACAATAACCATCCGTGGAAGAAATGGCCAGGAAGGCCCCATCGCTGGACCTTTGTTTCCAAAACAGGAGAAAGTCAGAAACTTTACCAAAGTCTACAGGCCACTCTTCACACTCTCATTACTAGTTAGAAACGCGAAGTTTGAGCGACGTCACGAGCTTCGTTTGAAGGTGGGTCGGGGAGAAACACGACTAAGAAAGGGTCTGTGGCACTTCTTCCTCACACCCTCTCCTTTCCCAACCCCGACACGATTCTCTAAGGCACTACAATCTCTGCTCTGTCATCAATGCACCTGAATAAAGGTAAAAATACCTTTTTGTTTCCAAAAAGGAAATTAAAATAAGGAAAGAAAAGTTTTAAAGAGTAAGAAGAAGGGGCTGCTGCGTGGCCAGGCCTCGGCCAGCGCTCGAGCTGGGCCTGAGCAGACAGCGGGGCTGGATCAGGGGACCAGGGCCTGAGGACTCACGGGGAAAGCAGAGCATGGAGTGACACCTTGGGCCAGGTGCGGTTCTGGGCAGTGGGGGCGGCTCACAGGTGTGGGCTTTTGCCCAGACAGCCTGGTGAGACCTCCAAACCAGGGAGCCCCAGTCCTCCTGATTTATGAGAATTACATTAACCCCACGGGGCAATCAGAACGGCACCAACACCACGGCTGTTACCATAGGAAGCGGGATTACAGCAAATTAGAAACGGCTTTCCTGCTCTGTCGATTCCTTCTAAAAAATAGTGAAGAAGGCCCAAAGTCCTCTGTAGTGATGAAATGCTCCCTGACCCAGGGGTGTGCTCCAGGGTGACGTACGCTATACCTCCTCCATCCACTCTCCCTCGGCACCTGCCACTCACCAGGAGATGTCACTCAGCGTGTGGTAATGTATGTTAGACACGTAACCGAAAGGGAAGAGCTGCTGGGTGTCGTAAAAGAGCACGGAGTCTTCAGAAGCCACTGCGAACACCAGGCGGTAGGGCAGGTGCACCAGCTCCGGTCCCTGCTCTTGTGACTGTCCGTCTGCAGGGAAGGCGGGGGGGCGGGGATGGGGACAAAGGAAGGACAGTAAAACAAGAAAGGGCCAAGTTCCCAAAGGAAACAAGTAATAAATTCCCCCGCAAGAAGTCCTCTCCCAGGGGACACATATAACATAATTTGACTAAAGACTAGTTTGCTAGATGCTTTACAAAAAGATTTCATTCTTCATATTATTTTATATATGAATGTATGAATAAAGGAGAACCATGTATGAACCAGTGAGGATGCTGGGCCACGATCCAAGAATCATGGGCACCGGAAGTCCAAAAAGAAGAGAAAAGAGCAGAGGATATGTGAATGAGGTGTCGACCTGAGGGGTCACGTATAAGAAAACATAAGGGTCACGTAGAGACATTTCATCAAGTGATGTCTTAATGCCCTTCTGAGTTAATTATATTCATTCACATAAAGGATTAGAAAATTAAAAACAGCTTCTGCTTCCAGCCATGGAGTAAAAGGGACTTGATTCACCCTCCGGTTTTTTAGGACATCAGCCATCAGGCAAAGAAGGACAGCGATCCCTGAGAGATGGGAAGCAAGTGAGCTAAGTCCTACGACTGCCTCGGCCTGCCGCCCGGAGTCCCCAGGACCAGCAAGGGGAAGGGGAACCCAGGTAGCGCCCAGCAGACGCCCCGAGCTGAGAGGACAGAGCCCAGAGTCCGGGTTGGCCAAGGCGGCCGGGGCTCATGGAGTGGAGGAGCAGAGACGGGAAAGCTGCACGGACCCACAGAGGCCCCCTCGTCTGAGGCTGAGCGCCCACCGAGCAGTGCACGTATGTGAGGAAGTGACTCAAGGCCTGTGTAAGAACAGGCCAGAAAGATCAATCCCTGAAGCTCACACAGGCCAGAAAGAGCGCATGTCCCCACCGGCCAGAGTGCAAAAGCTCCTAGGTCACGGGCACGGATTAGAGCACTCAGAGGCTTCCCTCAGAAGTGGGGAAATTCGCCCTGGATTCCATGCTGCTCTGATCCCACCTAACAAGGCTTCACAGCAGGACCCATAAGAAGCAAAATGTTTCGAGGCAAGTTCACTGCATCCCAGAATCAAGCTCAAGAATATCCGTAGGAATAAAAATATACCCAGCATCCGATAGGGTAAAATTCAATGTCTAGCGTCAAATAAAGAATTACGAGGCATGCAGAGAAGCCGGAAAACATGGCTCACGATGAGGAGGAAAAAAAAACCAATCAAAACCAACCTTTGTATACAAAGACATTGAGAGTTATTATAAAAACTGTAGACCATAGAAAGATGGAGAATGTTAAGTAGAGACATGGAATCTAAAGAAAGACCCAAAAGAGAACTCTAGAGATGAAAACTAGTGTCCCAGATGGAAAATATGCTGGACGGCACCAAGGGCAGATTATACAGAAGAAAAGATTAGTGAACTCAAAATACAGCTATAGGGACTATCCAAAATAAAACACGGAGGAAAAATATCAAGCAAACGGAACGTCAGTAAGCCGTGGGATAACTTCAAAAAGTCTAACATGTGTAGTCAGAGTCGCCGAAGGAGAGAGAGGATGACAAAACACATCTGTAGAAATAATGGCCCAAATCCCGCAAGCTTGGGGAAAAGAAAAATCCAATTCATATGTAATCTTATGCATAAAAAACTGACAATGAATGACATTCAACCTGCTTCGATCCTTAAAGTAGCTTTAAGCAAAGAAAGCGTGTTTTGGACAGTACGAACAGCTAACGCATATTTTGGTAACATCGGTCTTTACTCCAGCTCTTAGGAGTAACTAACCTGAACCAAACACACACACTCATCTTTCCCAAGATAAAATCTAAGCCACTACCCCACCCTGGTGACCTGCCTCGGAGAGAAAACCTCAAACAATCTCTGATGTACCTGTTTCCACCGCCGGCCTCAGCTCAAAGTAGACGGGACAGCAGCGGACAGCAAGCGTCGCCTTGCCGGGACAGGGGAGATGAGCAACAGGCCTAAAGATCAATCGTGGTTTTAGAAAACGGCACCGTTACTCAACAAAAGCGAAAAAGAAAGGGTAAATGTTTCAAGTAGGTCTTCAAGTGCTTACCTTTTAAGATTTCTCCTGGGGAAAATATAAGTTGTGTTCGTTACATTTTCACCAGATTCCACGCATCCGGCTGGGGAGGCAGGGAAAGGGAGGGACAGGAACGAAAGGCAGCGTTTTACTAAACTGTTCGCCGGTGAAAACTCAAGAGCATCCAATTCTGCTTTGTAAAATAATTTTTCCAAAAGATGTATATTCCCCGGACAATGTTTTTGTGACTGGAGACAAATATAAGCACAGGCTGGGCTCAGCCCTTACTCTGTTTCTACCCGCTTGTCATCTCACCTGAGGGCCTCGGCCGCCCCCCGAACCACTTCTGGACCTGGGCAGGGAGAATACAAAGCAGGAACCCTTGCTACAGAACTTTGTGTGAGAATCCAGCCAAATGCCTGCTGAGGCGCTGTGACTACATACCCAACCTCAGTCCCCCGGATTCTGACCTCAGTTGCCATCCAAAGGCTGAGACTTGGGCCTTTTCCCATCTGCCTGATGGAGCCAGGAGGAGAGCTAGCCATCCATCTGCCAAAACCTCTAGCCCCTGAAGAAGCTGACTCTGCTCCGGGGAGCAGCCCACACTCGACAGCTCTTCTTCACTCACCCCAGGATGTACATAAAACCAGGTCAGACCCTGGCAGAGAAGGACCATCAAAACCGGTTGCTCGTGGGAACGTCTCCATGTGTTATGCTGATATGTCGATGCATATACACATACATAATCTTACATGTGACCATTTCATATCGACTGGGGACGGCCACAGACAGCATCAGTAGTATTTCTATTCCGTCCCCATCACGCCCCATCCTCCATTCCCAGGTATCCACGCTGACATACCATTATGTCATTTCTATATTTCCTCCATGCTCACATAATCATTACAGCCAGTTATAACTGAATTGCCTATGTAAGCATATGGTGGGTTTTTTTTAGTTTATTTTACAAAATGAAGTATTATTTAGAATTTTCCTTATTTTGCTTTTCTTAGTCAACTACTCTCGAAAGTTAACCTGCATCGCATTACATTAATGCATTATTCTTCCCTCTCCTATCCTCTCTAGTTTTCCTCCTCTTATATTTTATTTTTATTCTTACTTTTTTGCATTTATTCTATCTCTACACATTATACATTGGCACTCACTCTGGAACCCTCAGACCAGTGTCCTGGCAAGGCCCTGGCTTGTTCAACACACCTGGTGTGAGAAGCAAAGATCCATCAGGAGTAAAACTAAGTCTACGGAAGAATGACTTCATGCTGTCATCGTGAAACATCCGATAACTTCTTGCCTGTGGCGCAAAGTTTAATTATTATTCCAAATCTTTACATTCACAATAAAGGCTTACCGATTCCTGGATTTTTTTCTTTACGTATTATCATTTATTACTGACATACTAATAAATGAAACGAAACTATATTACAAATCAAATAATCATGCAGGACTGCGAGAGTAATCACTGACGAATCGATGGCCCCTTTTGGTTAAGGAAAGCTGAATGTCTGTGTGTGCCTACGTGTATGTGTTTGTGTGCTTCTACAGTTAGTTTTTAAAAACCTCTGGAAGAACACACGGCGCACTGTCAACAGTGGTTTGTGTGGGGATGAGACCGGGAGAAAGCAGGAGGATGACTAGGAGCCCTTTGCTTGTTATCTGTGTGTATACGTTTAGTATTTCCAATTGAATACTTTTTTAAAAGAATACAGTTGATTATTTGGTTATTAAACTGGTAATCATATCATCTTTTCAAACATTTCTTGAACACCTGTGTGAAAGTTTTTGCCGCCGTTCACCAACACTTTAAGAACATCGAGGCTTTAATTCTCAAGACTCCAAGGAGGCATCACTCCTTACCTTACAAAGTGTGTGACCTCTGCGGCAGCCAGGTCACGGCCCACGCGGCCTCAAGCTGCCGCCCTACGGCTGGATTTGCGGCCCGGCCCTTTTTTGGGCCAGTAACCGACCTGCTCCCTTTGGCCTGAGCGCCTGCCTCAGTAGTCTTGACTCCTCCAGGATGAGGGTCCTATTTTCATTTGCTGTTCTTGCCAAGATTGAAATCCTTCCTGTTCCTGAACACCAGCTCAATGGCTGGGTCTCTGCCGTCTACTACCCGAGTTCTCTATCTACCTGCCAAGTGGCGGACTGCCCGCTGCCAGACAATCCAGCGTGAGACCCACCTGCCTTCCGGTGCTAGGCTCCTCCGAGCGCTCGACCCTCACTACACCTCGGAATCCCAGGGGCCTTGCCTACCTCAAACGCAGTGAATCATATTTCGGTGGTGGGGAGCCCAGGCACCCATATTTACCATGCTTCCCAGGTGATTCCACGGTGTGGCCAGGGTAGAAAACCCCTGTCCTCCACCATCAGCCCTGTCTCAGCCCCAGGCAGACAAGACCACCCTACCAAGCCTGGACCGAGAAGAAAGCTTTCTGTGGGTCAGGTGTCAGGTCCCTGAGACAGTGACTTAGCTGCAAGACACGGAGGTGCTCACGACTTTCTAAGTCTCAACTAAAGTCCTGTGACAGTGGAAAATCCAAATATTTCATACCTCTCCTTCAGCCCCTATTCCAGACAGCATCTTTGAAACATTAAAAGCCACACGTTTCTTCTGTATGCTGTACACCCTCAGGATCCTAAGTAAAGAAGAAAGGTCTGATTCATCTCTTCTGGTAAACGAATTATGTTTCACATAGAAACAATCTATTAACAAAACTGAAGGCTGCTTAAATAAGTTTTGGTCTGCAAAACCATTTACCAATGACTTTCCTGCTTAACTGAATAATTATGACAGAAGGATGAACAAGCTAAAAGACAGCACTAATAAAGTGGAAAAACAGGTCATCATTTCATTTTTCTATTGCATGTTTCAACTTCTCAAGATGTACTTTAGGTCTAGCTTTATTTTTCAGGTCTCAGACATTTGGCCAGTGGCAATATGTATGACTGTGATGAAGTTTACTTTGTGTTGAAGTCTCATCCTCTAGAATTTGCAAGAGTAAGGAAAACACCAGCAGAGAAACTTGGTTGCTCGTAACTCATATTATTCCCACTAGTTAATCAGATTGTTTCGCTCCTGACTGCCTGAAAAAAACACATACATCAGGAAATAAATGCTGTTTGAAATATTACAGAAGAGTTTATGAAAAATACACACTAACTCTTCCATATTGCTCTCATTCCAGGGCCATCTGAAATTAAATTTGCTATAATTAAAAGTAGTAGGAAAATATTCAAAAGGACTATTTTGACTGATGAGTAATATGCCTGGCACCTCTGATTCTTTTAAATCTTTGTTCTAAGAACACAGTTAAATGCAATAATACCAGTAAACACAACAATACGTCTTCCTTTCAAATGAGACAAAAGATTTTATTTTATATTAACTAAAATGGAGTCACTAAAGTCACGAGTAGTAAATTGTAATCAAACCATGAAATAAACAGTCCAACCCTACCGCTAGGTACCTCTACTTGCTTAAGGCATATTTATACAAGACATCTTTGCCCGTGAAATTCAAACTTAATTCAAAGCCTTTTCTGCATTCATTCACCCATTCGATAAAGATGTACTAAGTGCTAACTTCACGTAAGGCACTTGCACTAATTAGTTTCCAATTTTTCTTACGTCATAAGAATAACGGTAAAATAAAATGCATTCTATGAAACCAGGAACAAAAGAATCAGAGCTAGAGCACAGTTTATATTGGTTAAGTGATAAAATACCTCTGCAAAAATTTCAAGTAAATAGACATACCGACATACCTGTCACAGCTCAGGGTGGCCACATACTGACCCAAAGGATCCCAGGTGACTCCTTGTACATAACTTTTATGTTCATTAAAAATTGAGATCTTTTGTCCTACAAAAAAAGCACACGACAGCATTACCAGAACCTCCTCAAGCACAAATGGTGTACACAGCTTAAACATCACCGCCTTTATACCGTTCCGTTATTCAGCAGGCGGTCACTGAGACTCTACCAAACTCTGTGTCAGGCTCTGGGGACACAAAGATGACTCCACACAGCCCCCACTCCCAGGCACTCGGAGCCTGATGGCAGAGACAGACCCATCGACAGGCAAGCACACTGCGCCTTGATAAGACTGTGCTTATGACACACAGCAGCAGGAGACAAGCCGCACCCAGTTCTCCGGGTCAGGCAGGGTAAAGGGGTCACTGAAGGGGGAGACGAGGTATTCTACGCAAACCCACAGGGTGAAAACCAGCTCAGGAGCAGTGACAGCAACTGAGAACTGCTGGAGGGTACGGCGAAGGGCCGAAACGGCAAGACAGAGGCGGAAGGAGTACGCGACAGAAACCCTGTGTGCAAGGACAAGGCTCTGTGTGGTCGCGACATGGCCAAGAGGAACACTAAGAGGAAGTGACCTGACTATAAAGATGGAACCGGGGCTTTGAAAAGAGCACAGCGTGTTACCAGTTAGGAGGTGAGAGCCCGGTAGGGGGGCCTGGACCGGAGCAGAGTTCACAGGGGCGGATGGGGACTTTAGGGGAAATGTTTAGAAGAAAAAATCCAGCACACAGAGATTATCTGGATAAAAAGAGGGAGTTATGAAGCTCTGACATTCATTTAAAACACAGAAACAGAAACAAAAACAAAACAAAACGAGCACCTTTTTTCTGAAGAGGGGTCTACACTCACTCCCCCATCTTTCTCACCTTCCCCTCGCTCAGCCCCCTGCAGCCTGGCTGCCACCGCCCACGGCTGCCGCCCCCCATGGTTGCCGCCCCATATACCGCCTGTCGCCAGCGCCAGACACATGTGAATGCGGTGGGCATGTTTCTTACCCCCGCTCCTTCTTGAAACGCCTTTTAGGGCGTCTACTGAGATTAAGGTGGCCTGGGGTGAAGAAGAGGGCTTGAGGAGACCTGTGGTGGTTTGGGGGAGTTATTAGAGAGAAGAGGAGGGGGAGTCCGATTTCCCAAATGAGAGGGGGTGGGGGACACTGAGACCCCACCTGAGCTTGGCCCAGTCCGCAGGGTGGCAGGTTTTTAACCACGTGCTCAGCCTGGGACTAGGACACTATAGGGAGATTGTGACACCGATCCCGTCTGGGGTTTGTCTCGGTGGGTCGGATGGAAGAAAAGGGTCCGAGGAATGGACTGGGTTCATAAATGATCACTTTGGGGAGCCAGCTGTATAAAGACGATACGAGGGCTGAGGGGACCTGAAGTTTCTGGGGCGAGAAAGAGCAGAAAGTAAAGGTGTTGAGAGAACCGCCGGAGATGGTTCTGATGGGCGAGGGGGACACTTGGCTTAAGATGTCACTGACAGAGCAGTTAAAATGACAGAGGTCTTCGAAGAAGCCCAGCGAAGAGAACTGTGAGCTGACATGACGTGACAACTGTGGATTAAGCAAACGTTCTTTTTAAAAGTGCTCTTTTGAAGATTATGGCTCAGATTTCGGGGGAACTAGGTGATGGGCAATCAAAGGACTCACATGTGGAATTCCTGAAATAAAAAACTTTTGACCTTAAATAATTTTGCCTATGTTACACATAAGAAAAGGAAAACCCTTTACAAAAAAAAAGGGAAAAAGAAAAAGAGCGAGGTCTAGGACGTGACCTTGCTTTCCATACTCCCCACCGAACCGGCTCTTCCCCCAGTGTCCCATCTCAGGAAATGGCACCAATATTCACCTGGTTGTCAAAAAGCTTGGAGTTACGGCGAATGCATCAAATGCTGTCAGCTCTTTCTTCAAATTACAACCGAACCAATCCCTCTGTCAGCCCCGCCATCACTAGCACCTGGGCCCAGGCCATCACCGCCTCTCTCCCGCGTTACTCCTATACCACTAACAGCTTCCCTTGCTGTCGCTTCTGTTCTCCTAGGATCAATTTGCCAACTGCCACCCAGACACATCTTTTTAAAACAGAAATAGAATCCGGTTACTCTCCTGCCGAAACCCCTTCAGCAGCATGTGTCACACTTGGGATACAATCTAAACGCCTTTCCGTGGTCTGCGACCCCCGGCGGCCTGGTTCCGCCACCCCTGCACCCTCAGTTCCTCCCTTCCGCCCCCTCCTGTCCATTATCCGTCTCCTCCCACGCAGGGCCTCTGCATGTGCTGCTCCCACAGGCTGGAACCCTCTTCCCCAAAATAACGCACATGTCTTGCTCCCCGACTTCCTTCAAGTCTCTGTGCAAACGCCGCGTGCTCCGAGGGCCTTCCCTGATCACACCACCACTTTCCCGCCCCTTCGCCGCACCTACCACTACCTGACACTGTCCCCACTCGTGTATTTGTCCGACGCCTCGCTAGAGCGTGGCCACTTTGTGTATTTTTCCAGCACCCACAACAGTGCCCAGCATGCTGGCAATGTCCAAGGTCGCTACAGCTGGCGTCAGCGGGGTGCTGAACAGACTGTTCACACAAATTATCCAGGACAATGGCCGGGTTTGGGGATGAGAGGACGGTGACCCTGGTCCTCCACTTTGCATAATGCCGGGGACTGATTGGGAAGAGTGACAGAGACGAGACGAGACAGATGGCTTAGCTGGATGGCACGGTACCAAAAGAGCACTCTCACGGAGTGCACGGACACTGGACTGACGCAGTGCTGTGGTGGCAGGGAGCCCACCAGGGCGCCCAGGATCTGAGAGAATCGGCAGCCTGCACAACACAGGAAATCAGAGGGAGAAGCTGGGGAGGAAACATGGCGCCTGAGTGACGGGCCGCAGGGTGAGGCACGAGCCGCGGCTGGCCTTTGGCATCTCATTGTTCTTTTTATAGTAGCTGTAACTTCTCTCCTGTTTACTCTCTGCACTTAGGGAACAGGTTCTTTAAAAGAGGTGAGGTGCCCTTGGCTTTCCTCGATCTCCTAAAATGGAAACCTGACCCTATGTACCCCAACATAGAGCATTCAATGCCCCGTTAATTATGACTTGCTAATCTTCCCAAGATCCTAAGCTCCACCCAGGCAGGGCTCAGCCCTGTCCCATCATGGCTGCATCCCCAGGCACGTGGGGTGTGCCTAGCTCTGGCACCAGTAACTCATGACATCACTGCTAAGCCTCAGACATTCTGCCTGGGACCTTAAAACTGAGTTGGATTCATGGCACATGGGCTAATCTCTAACCTATTGTGCCAAACACCTAATGTAGCTCACTAAAGAAACTCTTCTTATGCCTTTAAAGATAAAACGGGTTAGGCTTTTTAGATAGTAACAGAAACTTATCAGCTACCTTTACTGACGTCCCATATGATGGCCGTGTTATCCACAGACGCAGAAGCCATGAAATTCCCATCGGCTGCCCAGCAAATATCATACACGTCTTCTAGGTGGCCCCTAGAATCCAAAGAGGAAAGAGAGGGAAGAAAAGAGAGAAAAAAGTATCAAAAATCTAAAGGCAAATTCAGGGACTACACATGAGAATAGGATTTTAGAAATTTCCACTGGAACTATATTAGCTATAGCTACAATCTACTATCTGGAAGGATAATTTTATCTTTAAAATTGATTCCATTTTACTAGGGGAAAATTTATATCTGAAACTAAGAAAATCCATTTTAATCATGCTTTTAGCTTTTAAAACCATTCTCTTATTTGTCTTGCATGAGTACAAGTTTCAAGTGTGATATAAAAGTCAAAATGCACGTCAGTTTAACGCACTCACGTAAAGATGAATCGCGCCCATGATCCCGCCCCAGTTACCTCAGGGTTTTTACCACGGTCCAGTTCTCCTTATTCAGCTGAGTCTCATCCTCGTCCTGAAAAGCAATCTGTTCTGGCTCCTTGTTGTCATTCACCTTCCACAACAGGATGACAGCATCTGTGGAATGACCCCATTAAAGATGAGCCCTGCTTTACTGCACATGCTTCACTTTGGGGTTTTTAGGCTATTAAACAATATTTATGCTGTTCAACAGACACCGTGGCAACAATAATTTACTTCTAAGCATCTAAGCCAGGAAAAACAGGTTTGTGTTCAGAACTAAAACTCTTAAATCAGCCCGATCCTATCTGATCTCGGAAGCTAAGCAAGGTCGGGCCTGATGAGTACTTGGATGGGAGACCACCTAGGAAGACCAGGTGCTGTGGGCATAAAAATAAATAAATAAAATAAAATAAATTTAAAAATGTAAAAAAAGGGACTGTAAGCTGACAAGGTCCTTGCAATCTGTGAGGTTGACCAAGGGCTGCCTCGCCTAAAAAAAAAAAAAAAATTGGCAAAGGACTTGAAAAAACATTTCTCCAAACAAGATACACAAATGGCCAACTAGCACATGAAAGATGCTCAACCTCATTAGCCATTAGAGAAATGACACTCAAAAGCACAATGCGATACCACCTACTAGGAAATCAAACTCATACCAGATCAGAGCTATACAAAGTCACCTTAAACAGAAGGGTCCCCAGGCCAACAAAACACCACTGCGAAGTGACTGACGACATTTAACAAATCTAAAGCCATAACCTATGAATGACTGAATAGGAGAAAAACAAGGACCCACCAACACTAGGATTGGCGAATCATTCCTAGCTGTGTAACCTTCAGTAAGTCACTTGATGTCTGTTTACTCACCTACAAAACACAGATAATAACAGTATACCGACCGCAGAGGGCTGCTGTGAGGATTGAGTTAATATGCATAAAGCACTTACGATGCAATGAGTGGCACACAGTAAGCCATATATGTGTTAGCTATTAATACCGCAGATGCATACCTTAGCCTGACGTCATCAATTGTCTGAGTCCTGTAACTCCCCGGGTTCTGACTCCACCCTCAACCACATAACCTGACCACGAGTGGGCTTCCCCTTGGGAAACACCTGCAGGAGAGTGACTGAGGTGGCCGTATGGAATTCTGGGAGCTTGGGTGAGAGGAGATTGGCCCCAATAGAGGGCCACTCTCCACGTGCTGGCTAACAGGTTTCTGGGCCTAGCCAAGGCCAAAGGACTTGGCAAGACAAGTGCTGCCCTGTGCAGTCCCACGGAAGACAGCCCGCCAGCGCCCCCACGTGGTGTTTCCCACTCACCACCTTCCCCTCCCCGCTCGCCCTCAGGACATCACAGCACAGAATTCTTCCTGCAAACAAAATCTGAGATTTCTGTTTTACTTTGTACTGACTTCTAGACTGTTCTAGTGTTAGAGCATGGTAGAAAAATTCACTTTTTCTGTATTGTTTAAAGAAAGAGTAACGACAGGGAATATATATAAAATGAAGTCACTTTAACTGAGCTGCCAAGATTATTAGCATTATGAAGGTCCAATGCCTGGCTCTATATCTGGACATACACCATACCTCCAGATAACCCTCTGATTGCCCATTAAAATCTCACGTGTCCAGGCCACCTGACATCCATTATCCAGACTACCAGACATGACCAAACCTCATGGTGCCCGTCCTGTAGACCAGGGGTCCCCAACCCCTGGGCCGCAGACCAGTACAAGTCTGTCACCTGTTAGGAAGTAGGCCAAATAGCAGGAGGGGAGCGGCGGGCAAGCAAGCGAAGCTTCATCTGTATTCGCAGCCGCTCCCCAGCGCTAATCACCGCCTCAGCTCCACTTCAGATCAGGCATTAGATTCTCATAGGAGCACCAGTCCCTGGTGCCAAAAAAGGTTGGGGACCACTGCTCTAGACAACCTGACACCCATCATAGAGACAGCATGACACCTGACTGATAACCGTCCTGGACCAGTCTTAGGGCTAAGAATGCAGGACTGGTCATCCTCAAGAATGTGTTTTTGGCTATAAGAACTCTTAACTTTCTTTCTTCTTTGGAACACTTGCAGGTTTTTCCCTAGCTGTGTTCCTAGTATGCAAACTCTAAGACCCTTGAATAAATTTCCATCACTATTTTTAACTCTTTTTGAGTTACTTCAACAAGTTTTACGCCATTTAAGCACAAACAGAAAATATAAATCAATCTATTCCCACCTAATGATTTTCAGAGCCATTTGGACAATACCCCCTAAGCCAATTAATTATTAATTACACAGAGACCTAGAATGGAATGTGATCACTTACCATTACTAAACCAACAATCAAGCCAGGCCAGAACAGTTGCTCGGGACTCTGACAGACTGGTAAACACCTTCTACTTGTCTCCAAACCAGCCCCGTAAGAGCAGGTGGGAAAGGGGCCATTTTCTAATAGGTCTTCTCAGTTTAAGCTGCTGTCCTCCGGCCTCTCACGCTCCCCAGGGCATTTTTTTACTAAACTATCTAAATAATAGATCAAGAAGGTCAAACGACCTCTAAAATAAAAAAGCATATTTAGCTCAAATCTCACTATTTAACATGAGACACATGGTTATGTGGTTTCTAAGGAATTTTGAAGTACAATACTCACCATCTCCTCCTGATGCTAAAATCTCTCCATTCGGAGAAAAACGCACAACATTGACAGCTTTGGTATGGCGAAGAAGATTGGACAAAAATTCAACAATGGCCTTTCCATCTGGTCCTTTTTCTACCTTCCAGATCTGTTGATACCAAAACACTCATTCGGAGAAACATACAAATGAGCACCTACCATACCGTGCACGCTAAAATAATACTATGCTTATTCTCAAGACGAAAATGTAGTTTCTCTTTTGAAACATAAAATGAAGAAAACTCTTTCTGAAACAAACCAAAAGTCCCATTGCCTGCTGTCCTCTCTCCCACCACTTCCTAGTGCAAATCGGTCCCCAGTAGGAACCCGGCTCAGGATTCTAAAATGAGGGGCATCCAGTTACATCGATCTAGGAAACATGACCCAAGAAATAAAGCTGCTTCTTTTGCTCTCATTCTTCACTCAAGGCCCTGAGAACTTATTCCTCTGGGTTAGATGAGGAAGTAGATTGGAGGATGCTGCCGTCAATGGTGCTTCCCTGTGCCTTTCTACCTCCACCCGATTTACCCTAACGGCGGTGTCCACCCCGGCGGAAGCCAGTCTGTGGATCCTCCCGGCTGCGCCGTGCTGGAAGTCCAGGCTGTACACCGGCTCCTTGTTGTGCCAGGCTATTTCGCAAGTGATGACTTTCATCCTCCTGAGTCTTGGAGGGTCAAAAATAGTCCTCGGGCACCGTTCGTTTTCCAAAGACAGAGGAAAGCTGAAAATCATTGGTAATGAATTGAGTATTATAGCAGGAAAGATGGATTCAACAATTATTATGAAGCAGGAGCCCTGCTAACCATGAAAAAGGCACGCTGTGCTGGGAAAGGACGTTAATGGGGGCCGCTGACGCAGCATCTTGAGAGTTCCACCTAAATGCTTTGCTGAGCCGCGGCGGCTACACAGATGGTTCTTCTGCTGCGTCCGGAAACGCAAAATGGAACAGGAGTGCGAGGAAATAAAGGGGCCAGGCAGGCTGCCCTCCGCTTAGTGGGGACCGCGGGGCACCCGGAGAGCCAGAGGCCGGGACGCCCGGGAGAGGGTGCTGCGCGAGGGGGCCGCAGGAGAAGGGGCTGCTCGGGGGAGAGGGACGGGGCCGGGCCGCCGGGAGGAGGCGGAGGCCCGGGGGAGGGGGCCGCCGAG